CCTGGTAAATGTCGTAGCACTTCTCGAGCTGCTCTCGAGTATCCGAATCCAGGAGAGGCTATTACAATTACCGAAGTCCAAGGCATACCATTTAAGAAACCAACAGCTGGCAAGTGTTATTCAAAAGCTACTACCAACACTTCTACCATGGTAACTACATCTATTACTACTACTATCACTGCTACTGATGATACTTCAACACTCTTCTCCTCATCTGTTGCATCTAACACGGTGAATCCGGCTGGCGATTCTAAATGTGACAAGCCACTTCCTACAGTTTTGAACTTAGTTGTCAATGATGCTACATATCCGTGCACTTGTGTATGCGAGAAAAAAAATCACCTTAGTGCAAGATTTTTCTTATTGTATCATTCCCACTCAGGCACATTGCCGTGAGCTTCATGAATATTCAATTGTAGCGAAAGTGCTTCGACATTTTTCTCATTATCTTACCAATAAATCAATAATATTCAACTTCTATTTTTAGATCTATTCTCACCAAACAAGTTTAGAGTCTCGAGAATACTCAGAAGCATTAGATAAAGTATAAGAGTCTCAAGAATGTTAATAACTTTTCACAACTGTCAAATCCTTTTATTCCAAAGCAAAAACTTTGTAGATGTGGTGAAAAGTTTTGTAAAACTTTTTTCACATCTTCGAATGATTTTAACCAATTTCATGGATGTGTACCATAAAAAGGATAGAATACCTACAAAGAAATTCTGCAACCAAATTCATACAGGAGTTTTATACATTTTTCATCCAAAAACAAAAAATACAGGTGCTACTTTCTCATGTTAAAAAGCGAAATGAAACAGACGGAAAATGGAGCATAATCAAAATATCATTCTTTCGATAACCATTGACTTCATTTTCTTCCCAAAAGTTACATGAGCTGTAGTATTTTTTTTTGATACAAACAAACATTATTATTGCTTAAATTATAAGTTCGTGTTTGGAATAAACACGACTTGTCAAAAAAAAAATCATCATCCTTAAAAAAAACTGGATGTTGTCTCATGAAGAATATTGAAAATGTATATTCAAAAACTAAAAACTTAACAGCAAATATCAATTGTCAGCAACTCGTATATTTTTCATTGACAAGGGTGTGGTTGGAAGAAAGGAACGATTAACACCCACACTCACACCCGTCTAATTAGCTTTCAATCTGGAACGATATCCTTTTATTAAGATCTATTGATTAATCCTCACTAAAGAAGAAGACTTAAAACAAGAGTATAAACTTAGATTCTTTCAAGATAAGAAAAAAAGAGTTGTTCAAATTTGAAATAGAATCAGAAACCGATGTAAAAGAAATTGTCATCATGATTGTTTTATAAAAAGATATTTTTATGTGATTAATGTTAGTTATTTTGAACATAATAAAATGCAACCACTTTCTTCAAAATCTAAGAGAGATGAAGCACTAGAAATATTTCGATATCAGTCAATTTTTATTTGAATTAACTTTTTTCTTTTATATTTGTTTGATTCTAATACTTGTTTTGTACTCTATTTGAATCTAATAAAGGACAAATAGAGTAAAATTATTAATGAATTATTAAATTTTACTTAGATTAATTATGAAGTATATATATGACTATAATATAACTCAATATTTAGTAATTATTTGATAATACCTACCTGAGTGTACACAGACACTTCCTATTTTTAATAATTTACGAAAATCCTAAAGCATTATCAATATTTTACAAGAGTAGTTTCATGAAAAAATTTAATTCTATACTTATATCAATAACTATATTCAAGTTAATCGAACAGTATTATTCAATTGATTCTATTTTATTTCTTTTAGATCTATTTAGAAATATTAAGCCTATGAACTTAATATTCTAACATTGAAGCTAAAGTTTTTGTTTCTTTTTTGTACTTATTTATTGATTCATTTTGTGGTACGCTTTCATAATTGTGATCTTTCTATAAGCAATACCTCTCGTCATCGATTTATTGAAGATCTTATATAGTTTCATATGTCGATGTTTATGTCATCACTTTAACAAAAATAACAGACATCTATGAATTTCAGATTTAAATACAGTAGGCTTAATTATTTAATAATTTGTATTTTTGATAATTCGATTAAGAAATATTTGATACCAAGTCTATTTTGAAACTTTCTATTCTATTGTTTTATATTGAATTGAAGATAGAAAGTTCAAATTTTCTCATCAAATTTATTTTTAGGTTAAAACTTAATGATGGCACAAAAAAACCTAAAGTTATTGTTCACGATTGATTTATGTTTGGAAATTTCTTAATATTCATTGAATGAAATTGATCTCAAGCAACAATTCACAAGATTTTTTAGACATTTGATAAACTGTACTCGATAATTAAGATGAATCATCATAATGAATAAACATATCAGAAGGCCTGATGGATGTTAAGCAGATATACTGCATGAAGTTCTTTCAAGATATGTCGATTCTCTAAGTACATGATCCCATTTTTCTATACGAAATCTAAATAATTCTGCATCTAACAGTGTCATTAAACGCAATTCATTAGTATCCGATTCATATTGAATAGACAATTGCTCCATATGATCTGTAAAACGAGAACTACCATATTCTCCTACACATAAGTTTGAACATACTTTTGATTGAAAACGTTCATACTCTAATCAAATTATCAGCAAACGAACAAAATAGATGATTTGGAGTTTTGTCTATTTGATAATAAAATAAATTTCATAGAATGTTATTAATTTTACAGATTAGATCTACTTTGATCGATTGATTTTGATGTGTTAAGTTTGGAGTGTAGGCGTGGGTGTGTTTTTGCATAGCCTACACTTTCCACACCATTCACACACCCACACCCATAGCTACAATAAATTTTTAATCATCGAAATCGATTAGAGTTCCTTCCACAATAGACGACTATTACTTTCTATTCGAATTTTTCAGATCACCCTTCTCGAAGCTGTCTTCTAATATGAATATAGTCTTTGAGAATCGATTTATTTAAGCAACGTGTTTTATGTTTAAAGAGATGAATTTTGATGAAATCTTTGTGTAACTTTGAACAACCTCTTGATTTCCAAGTAAAGTATTACTAAAAACTTTGAAATCTTTCAGTGTTAACACAAATCAATAACAGAAATACTATGATCTGTTGATCCGTCTGGATTATTTTCTAAACAGTAGTCTTCTATTACGAGAGAAAGGCTTCATAAAGAATCATGTGCAGATAACTTATTATAGTTAATAAATCAGATAGATTGCAATATATTCTTCACACATATAATCTATTATATTTAATTTCGTTGACTAGAGACCAATATAAATTGTTGCATATTCATGTAATTATTTTATTATATCCCTCCATAAAATAATCTACTACTATCAATGTTGATGCTATTTTGTCTTTACATGGATACTCCTTGATAATTTAAACGAAAAACGGTAACGTTTAAAAAGAGTAAATGACAAGAAACAATGCTGAAAGAAAAAAGGCATTCAGTGATGAATGATATGCGTGCAAATGACACAAAGACCTAGGTCTATAAATTAATAGACAAAAAAAGAACAAATAAACTAGAGAAATCGTTTATTCAATTATGATTTCTCCGTAGAGGAAAACATTCTTCGAAAAGTTTTCCGATCTCGACATTTTCAAGAATTTTCCCAGAGTCAAAAAATTTCCGCACACGGGTAGATTCTGTACCTATGCCTCACACCTCCAATACATGTTAAACTAACTGAAATATTTCAATACTGATTAAACATTAGACTTTGACAGAGTGTATGTATATGATTTGATTTTTCTTTGTTCTTCATTCATTTATCATAAATAAAATGTACGTTCACGAATTATATTGAACTAAAAAGTTAACTGACCCGTGATGAGATGATCACTTAACTATGAAAGATTTTTAAAATTGAATTACGGTATCCAGCACTGTTTAAGAAATGAGTCGTAGCAAGTCCTAGAGTTAAGGAAACTATCAGCGTCGCTACGATAAGACCTCAAAGAAAGGAGGATTGACCATTGGTTCTCTCATAGTTTTCCTATTCATGAAAGTGAAAGTAAAAAATCTCTTAGATATTGAAGTTTTTGTATTTTAACACTTAAGGAACTGAGAAGAAATTCCGATTTCTCAGTCATTGGACACTCCTCATTTTTAAAGAAACCATTCGAAGAAGAATATTGATCATAAAAATAAAATAACTGAAATGATCAATAAATTCAGTTGTTGATTTATCTGAATTTTCGCTAATTGTTTAATTCTTAAGTGAGATTAGTGTGCCAATTTTCATTCATTTTAATAGTCACATCTTTTTAAAATGATTATTGATTGAACAAAGCTTTTTATTATGTTTGGCGATTGTCTTATGGTCTGTTAAATATTGCACCAATCTAAATCATTACATCATTTTCTGAATTCGATGTAAAATGTATTCATGCATATTAGAATATAGATAATGGGAATTAGTCGAATTAAAAATGAGACTCAAATATCATCTAGTTTTGATACTAATTATTATTATCAATTCATAATTAGATCCTTAAAAATTTCAGTTGTTTTTTTTATATGTCATATCATTTAAAAAGAATAACAAAGAACTTAATATTTATTCACGATTGGTCAAAGATGAGATTCAAAAAATAAGAATATCTATCAACTAAATAAAAAAAGCATGCCATTGTTGTAAGAATAATGTTTGATACAAATTAAAAATATAAAGATCGATCAAAAAAATCTCGACAATAGCGACATCATTTTACGTAATGAAAAAAAAAAACGATTATCTATAATTTCATTGGTAGATAATGTCGCCGGGAACACACAAAGATCGCTTGTTAACATCATTAGGACAATGATTCGATTATTTTTTCACTGACCGATCGTTCTATAACATTGTACAATTCAGTCATATTTCTTTGTTGTATTTTTTTTTTTCTTATTTTCTAGAATAATTTCATGTTATTAATCAATTATTTCCATTAATTAATATCATCTATTAATCAAAATGCTTGTACATTTATCATCAACTAGTCCATATGTTTGGTTAGTTGTATATTTTTTATGTACTATATAAACTTAAAAAACAAAAAAAATTTTCATAATAATTTTAGTGATATAAGTCTCGGACCTATTGAACAGGCTAATCGTATGGCTTCAGCACCAACAATACAATCATTATCATATCTTGAAATAAAAGAAAGTTTTCCAAAATTTCAACAAACTCGTACACCATTAAAACTTCTTGCACCTGATGAAATACCTATTGATACAAGTATTGCTCCAACAATAACAATGACAACAGAAAATAATCCTAGTCGACAACAAAGTCTACAACCAGTTTGGTATACTGAACAAACCATAGTTGATGATAATAATGAACAAAATATTATTTCTATTATACAAGAACAACAACGAAATTCAATTCAATCATCTTGTCATCATCATAATGAATTAACACGTTTAACATTACCAACAATTGAAAGTAATAGTCCAGAAATAGAAGATGAAATCATTGAAAAAGAAACACTTTCAAATAGACCATCATTAATGCGTAAATCATCAACATTTACAATTGAACAACAATCATCAATTAATATTCCATCACCATTAAATGAATCGGAAAAAGAAAATGATTACAATACTATTATGACATCAACACAGTACGTTCAATTTTATCTTAGATTGAATTTTGAAAATGCGAAAATCTATTAGACATTACGAATAAAAAATAAGAGGGACGTATCCGTACGTTAGAAGTCCAAATATGTTGCAGGATATTTTGGTTTTCAGTATGAGCATATTGCAGCAGGAAATATTTTAGAGTACCTATTTTATTGCTTTCTTATTCTTTCATATCGATATTGAATTTTCATGTGGTACTTCTAAGACACAGGATTTTACAGTCAGTCGATGCATGACACTTATAGCTATAGTGGAAGTTAAGATGACACTAAAATGTACTACAGCTGTAAAAAGCCATCCACAATGACTGCGGCAGAAGGAACCGATCTTTAAGCAATACCATAGTATTTTCTACCAGATTCGTAGAGAATTAAACAACGAATGTAATGGAAAAAAGAGCAAAAATATATGACGGAACGCATAGGAGATATTTGAAAAATACGGAAATATCAGCTTCTTCTGCCGGAATCATTGTGGGTTGCTTTTTACAGTGTACATTTTAGTGTCATTTAAGGACGTGGTCTTTACTCAAAGGTAAGACATCATAGAAATTTTTTGAACATACAATTAGAAAGTGCTTTCAACGTTGATTCTGAATAGGTATTTTTTATTTTTACAAAACATGTTGTAGCCGATGAAAAATGAAGCGACATTTTCCCGAGAACTTTTACACCATCCGTTATATATGTTACTGATCTTTGAACAGCTGTCCACTATGTGAAGTTGTCTTTTTCATACCATTTAATAACATGCGTAATTTTCATTTTAGACAAAGTTCAACAGATCCAATACGTCATCCAACTGAACCATCTGATGAATCATTTCGTGCACTTGAACATCTCTTAGGACTTGGTTCAATTAATCCAAATATGACAATGATAACAACTACACAAGAATCACCAAAAAGTAATCATGAATCACTTTCATTAACAATGGTAACACCAACTGAATTAATTAATCAAACAACAACATCATTACATTTAAGTTATGCACCACAAGGTGGTGGAAGTTTACCATCATCACAAAATATTCTTGTTATGCCAACAATTGAAAGTATAACAGAACCAAGTATGAATTCAACAATTCCACCACCATTTTTGGTTGATAATAGTGATAATGAAGAACCATCATCAATGGCTGGAACAGTTATTAATCAAGAATCATATGAAAATAATTCAAATACAACAGAAGAATCATTTCATTTTACAGATGAAGATGATGATAAACAAGATACACCTAAAGATGATACAAATACAGAAGAAGATAGTAATTTTTCATTTGAATTAAATGATTTTTCAAATAATTCAAAAGAGAGAATAAATGAATTAACAAATGAGGAAATTATTCAACCACCAATGATAACAATACGTCCACCAACAAGTGCTGATGTTGCTTTTCGTGCATTAATTAAAGCTCGAACAAGTGGACGATTATCACAACCAGTTAAAACTCAATCACCATTAGCAAAAACAAGTAAAATAATATCGAAAAATATTCTTAAAAAAAGAAAAAATTTAATTTAGATAAAAACAATTTACCAACATGTGCATCTGTTCCAACAGGAACATCACGTGTACTTCGTTCAAGTGTTTGTCGAATTTCAACAACTCCAGTTTCAGAAAATTCTACTACTGAAGAAGTCAATCAATCATGTATGTATACTTACTATGAAATTTCGTTAATAAAAAAATCTGTGTACTTCTCGAGAAGTGTATAGTAAGTACGAACTAATTTTCTATGTATTTGCAATCAAATTGTACAGTTTCGAGACATTTAAGAGTTGGCTTCCTACTAAGAGTTAAACAATAGGTTTACAATCGAAATAGGATGCTGTTAGTTTGGGGTTAATATCAGCGATCCGCAGTGCCGAAAGTTTGAAATGTTTTTTTTTAAATTTTCGTCAATGAATTTAGAATGAAAGGATGAAGATATTTATAGATAAGTGGAGAAGTATTTTTTTTCTATGTGATGATTCAATAAATCCCGTTCGAAGTTATAGAGAAAGTTAGTTTCACGATGACTTGTTGTTAAGATTTTTGTTAAAGTAGGCCTTTTTAAAGTGAGCAAAAAGAAATCGTTTTCGAGTATGAAATTGAGAATAACGAATCAACGATGTTTGATTATGACACGTAGCAATGTCTTGTGTTTAAGATGTTCAAGAACGTGGAACACGAAACTTTATTGTGAGCAAATTTCAACATCCTTTACCCACATAGCTCATGTGGACAAGAAATGATGTGTTTCATGATAAAATGAGCATTCATCAAAAATATGTAGGAAAGTTCATAACAGTTAAAAAAGGTAGCCACTAAAATGGACTTATAAGCTCCAAAGGAAATTCTTAGAAAATCTTTGGATCATTATGTTTAGGAACGGTTGTTCTAGATACAGTCGCGCTCAAAATTTGTCATGCAGTATACTGATTGCATGTTTTTTGTAGCATATCAACTCCGTACGTCATAGATTCGTCCTGTCAGATTTCGAGTAAGAAAGAAGATCATATATCAAACGCAAAAGTATAAGGATACATTACGACAGATAATCTCCTACTTTATCGTATTGGACGTGAAATTGCGTTTACCATGTATTCATGAAAAGAAGTGAGATTCCGTCAACATAGTTTCAAATGTATCGTTCAGCTTAAAAACACACGGATATGCGCAGGACAGTATTCAGCTATCTCGTGTGTGATGTATGATTAATTTCGATTGACGTTGAATCATATGGATTTCAATAGTTTTAGTCTGCCACCTTAAATATATCATATGAAGAGCAGATATTTTTAACAGATAAACTATGAAAGTAGCAAAATATTCGCGATCGGTGAAGTGTGTAATGAAGCTTCATGTCAGAAATCGCCTATTGTTATGTTTGATTCATTTCTAAAACATAGCAATTTTTGTATTTCATAGATCCAGAAACAAATGATGAAAGTTTTTCAAGTGAACCAAAAACTCCTGATGATTATCCAAATACTGAACTTATTGAAGTTGTTAGTCTACCTGAAGAAGATGACATCGAACACCAACCAGCTGCTGGAATTACACTCAATCTTACAATATCAAAAGATACAAATCCAGTTTCACCGAGTAGTGCTGAAGAAGCTGATCGTAGTGCATCTTCATCATCCTCATATTTATCATATCAACCAGACATACCAACACCAAATAATCCAAAAATGCCAGTTTTATCTCGTGAATATAGTTACAATACTCCAACAACAAGAGCAACACGTTCATCAGAACGTCGTCGTTCAATAATAGCAAATCGTCGAAGTAATACACGTTTAATTCATTCTGTTATTCCTCGTATTCAAGAACAACAAACAACAATAACGGAAGAAGAAAAAGATCTTTCATCAGAAAATACAAGTCGATGTTCATTTCCATCATCATCATTAAAATCAATGTTATCTATATTATCAACAAATCAAACTGTTATTAGTGAAGGACCACCAATTATATTACAAAAATCTTTAGCTGGTTCAGCATCACCATCACCAATGATAACTATTCGTAAAAGTGAACGTTTATCATCAAATTTATCTCCACGACGTAGTATCAAACCATTACAATCATCAACACCATCAATTAGAAATAAATCTTTAGAAATGGTTTCAATTGGTGAACAAGAACAAGTTTTAACAACTGCTCCAAAACGATTTGATATGAATTTATCTGCAAATGATATTGAAATGTTTGATAAAGAACAACAAGTTGATATTCCTATTGAAAGTAAAATAATTATCTTACAGGATACTGTCAAATAAGATGATCACGATTGATTGAAAAAGCCACTTCTAGCCCATTGATTCTTTTTGTTGAAAATTGCTTTGTCCATAGCGTCTGTAATTTTTTTGTCTTCACGAAGTTTTAAATTCTTCAATACTGTTCCTCCAGACAGAGGCAACCAGTTGTATGCTACCTAGCTCTATATGTGTATACCTAATAATTGTCCTCGAAGATGTGCGTCATAGTCAAATCAATGAACTACTCAATAAGCCACGAGTTAGTTGCTCTAGTAAATTGTACAAATGTCTTTTCAACTGAATGATCATCTATTTATCGCTCAGAATCTTTTTTTTTCTTCTATTTACTATCTTTTTTCGTTTTAGTTCGATCTGTGTGTCATGAAGGTGTTCAAACTTCACCTGAACGTCGACCACGTCTTATTGACGTCGGTATTCAAACAACACCAATAGTATCACATCATCATTTTAAAACAATAGAACAACAAACAACTCCAATCGTTAAACGTTCATTCTCATCCAGTTGTCAAACCACACCAATCACCAAAAGTTTATCATTATCATCAAGTTGTCAAACTACGCCAGCTACTAAACGTTCATCATCATCAAGTTGTCAAACAACTCCTGTTGTTATTTCTATTCAACATTCAAATACACAACAAACAAGTTCAATTGTTGAAAAATCATCAAAATTTATCCTTCAAGAAGAAAAACACGAACAACATGAAGTTACACCAATACATAGTAAAGCTATTATGCATTTAAGACGAAATGTACGTTTTCAATTTACACCATCAACTGATGCACGTTTAGCAGCAAAAGAAAAATTAGAAGAAGATCAACAACAAGTAAAACAACAAATTCCTATTATTAATACTAACAAACAAACTCCATCCGATAATGAACATGAAGAAGATACAGAAGATGAAATAAAAAAAATTACAAAAACAAAAAAGAAAATTACAGTATCAAAAAAGAAAAAACATATTTCATTAACAAAAAATGATGATAGTTCAGAAGAAACAGTCTGTTCCCGAATAATTTTTTCTTTCTACTTATTTTTAAATTTTTTTTTTCTATTAATATAGATTGAATCACCAATTCGTAATCAACCTCAAAAATCTATTCCTGATAATGAACAACAAACAACAAATGATATACATGTTATAGCAACAACACAATCAAAAAAGAAAATATCAAAACGTTCTAAACGACATGAAAAGAAATGTTCACCTGTACGTGAACCAGAAATTATTGTTATAACAACATCATCTCCTATGGA